TCAATCCCTACCCATTTGACATTTTTTTTTCAGGTCCTGGGATTGCAGCAATGTCTCTGGTAAAGTCAGGGAAGTGTCTGATCTAGATAACCTGCCAGTTGGCTTCTGCCAGTTGGCTTCTGTTGTTCGGGTTCCTGGGAAGTGTACCTTGGGCAGTAGTCTCTTCTCGGTCACCCAGTGAATACAAGCATTATGGCCAAGGCTTATAAAAGTTGCTTCTTTGTAGTTGCTGTGGTTTGAATTTAATCTCCTAAAGTTCATGTATTGGAAATTTAATTCCCATGTACCTCTGCCAAGAGTTGGAACCTTTAAGAAGTGGTAATGCTTATTGTCACAGAAGGCATTCCTGGTAAAAGGATGGGTTTGGCCCTTCCCTCTTGTGCCCTCTTGTCCTTCCGCCTTGCTATGGGATGACACAGCAAGAAGGCCCTTGTAAGATGTGGGCCTCTCAGTCTTAGAGTTCTGAACTTTAAACTGGAAGAAATCGATTTCTGTTCATTATAAATTATCCAACCTCAGATATCTTGTCTTAGCAGTGGAAAATGGACCAAAAAGTACTCTTTGGGGATGGTTTTGAGGACAGCTCTTCAAACTAGAATCAGATTACAAAATTCACTCCATACTCCATTACTTTGGATAAATGAAAGTGTACCCATCTCTTGTTGTGTAGTTCCAGGCACCAAATCTAGGACCTCATACGTGCTAGATATGTATCATACCACTGAGCTACATGTGAATCTCCGAAGTCTGCTCTTAATAATTCTTGAGATAGGCCTTAGAACCACCCTCAGGGATCTGTTAGATGTTTATCAGATGTTATGGCTTGTGTCTTGAGTTTTGCCCTTTGTCAGCCATGTCATCATCATCTGTGCTCTAGGAAAAGACACAAATACTTCAGAGTTGAGCAATCCTACAAGGTTTCATGCTCACACCCTCAACTTTGTCCTCCTTCCTCCTTTCTCTTCGTTTTGCTTCTTACAACTGTTTTTGAGTGAGAGGCAGAGAGAGTCCCACCCTGACTCAGCATCCTGGCAGAGAAGGTCAGTGCTTTGGGAGGCAGGAGGAGCTTCCCCATGTGCTGGGTCCTCTTCCTCCCACGAGGCCACATTCAGTTTCAGATCCTGATAATCCACACCCCGCTTCTACCCGCTGGGACTCATCAAGCAGGCAGCATTGTGCTGAACTGCCGCTGGCTGCTTCCATTAGTCAGCCTGGAGCTGAGGAAGTGACCATGAAAAAGTCACTGCCCTCTCTTGGCCAAAGAAAGAAATCTTTTGAGCTTTTTCTCTTAGCCCCTAGTCATTCTAGAGGCAACTAAAACTTAACGAGGAGTGATTTCTGGTAATTATTATTGTCACTTACACCGAAGTTCATGATTTCAAATTTTTTATGAACTTCCTAATTTAACCTTGGATCTTTCTTATTGGACCCAGGTACTGTGCTTATAAGACACTGAATCTACTCTCGTAGTAAATTTGGTCTTACTGATGTAGTGTTAAAGTGTACATTTAAGCCACAGTGGTACTGGATACCTGTAATCCCAGTGACTTGGGAGGCTGAGGCAGGAAGATGACAAGTTTAGTTGAAGGCCAATTTGGGCAACTTCCTGAGATTGTGTTTTAATTGCGCAGGTCTTTTTCTTTGGAGACAGGGTCTCACTCTATAGCTCAGGCTAGCTTTGAAATCATTATGTAGCCCAGGCTGACCTTGAACTCACAGTGATCCTCCTGCCTCAGTCAAATTCTGGGATTACAGGCAACACCTGCCTTCAGATCATGTCTTGAATAAAAGTGCTGGGGATGTAGCTCAGTGGTAGAGCATCCCTGGGTTCAATCCCTGCTACCACAAAAATCAAACGCACACAAAACCACAGTGTAAGTATCTGAAGGCAAAGAAGTACTAAAGCAGCCCCAGTCATGGTCTGTGCTTTCTGTTCTCTCCCTGAGGGAGAAGGTCACCTGCCTGGACCTAAGGATGCAAAGCATGGCAGTGTTGTGATGAGAAAATCATAACCGTTTGTGATTCTTGGCTTGAAAGTTCTGCTGTTTACTGGATGAGGGGACCAGCACCCAGCACAGCATGGCTCCGGGGCAGGCTGTCCATGCTGTCCAGCACATGAACGGTTCCTCCTGGAGCGATCTATAGGAGACACCTCTCATCAGAGGACCTGTCATTTATTAATTGTTTATTAATCATTTATTAATAATTATAATTATAATATTAATAATTAATAATATTAATATTATAATTATAATATTAATAATTATAATTTATTAATCATTTATTAAGAATCATTTATTAATTGCCAAGTATAATCGACTTCCATATTTGCAGGGTTCACATCTGTGGATTAAACCAACCATGAATCAAAAGCATGCAGAGGAAAATTGCATGTGCATTGAACATGTTCTCTTTCTTCAGTATTCCCGAAACAATTCCTTAAATAATACAGTCTAGTGACTACTTAGAAAGCATCTCTTTCCCTGCTAGGTATTGTATGTTATCTAGACTGATTTAAAAGTATGTGGGAATATATAAGGTTATATGCAAATATTCTATTTCATATGTGGGATTTTAGCAGCTATGATTTGATACCCTCTGTAGCAAGGAATGACTATACATGTTGGGACATAAGCAGAAATAAAACTTTGTCAATTCACTTCCAGTCTTATTGTCCTGACAAATCATTCTTTCTATTTTCCTTTAATGTTTTACATCAGTATACATTATTTTTGCATAGCTACAGTCTAGTCTGTGATTTTGTATTTTTGCCTGCTATTGTTTTAAATTAGTAGGTTTTTCTGTGCTATCACAGTCCTTGTCATTGTTGATAGCTTAATTATTACACCTAGTAAAGTACAATTAATTATTGACCACTTGACAACTAGCTTGTTTCTCAGCGTGTCACTGTTGTAGAGGGTGGACAGAAGGCACAGAAAGTTTTGACTTATTCATCTCAACTTAGATGTCATCACTGACTGACTTATTTATTCCTCTTATTTACTTATGGATGACCTGATGTAGATCGTACTCTTACTAGACACTTCGCTTGGAACTTTTTATAATCAATTGTGTATCTCATCACTCCCTCATAGGTACATATTATCATGTCTGCTTGGCAGGGATGGTATAAATTTCAAGGAGTGTCTAAATGCCTTCCCTAACGTGTCATATTAGAACGTGGAGAGGACTGAGTTGCACCCAGGTTTGTTTTTCTTTAAGTCTCCTAGGTAGTAGAATGTCAGGTCCGTGAGGGTAGTGTTTTTACCCCTCCGGGTTCTGTTCTTTCCCATGCCCCAGTGTATAGAAGGATGCCTAGGACACAGTTGGCACCTAATAAAGGTTTGTTTAGTGAAAGATCAGTGATCTCAAAACAGTAAGCAGCCTGAGGATAGGCTTCCTTGGCTTCCAGATTTTTGTTTTTTTCCTGCTGCATCCCTGTTTCAGGTACAAAATAAATTTACACATACACACAGATACACACTTAAGAATTTATAAATGTATAATCTTTTTCTATTTAACTTTATAATTCAGCTTAAATTTTTTTTAGTAGGTTGTGTATTTTTAGAGCAGTTTCAGGTTCGCAGAATAGTAGAGAAGTCAAATAGATTATTTCCAAATTTTGGCATTTACAAATACAGCTAGTGTAAAGGCTGGTATAGGAGACCACCCAAATGTCTTATCCTTCCTCTCAGCCCAGTTATGAGCGTCCCCCAGTGGTATATTTGTTACAGTTGTGGAAGCTGCAGTGGCACATCATTATCCCTGAAAGTTCATGGTTTACCTTAGGTTACCTCTGGGTGAGGTATGTTCCTGTGTTGTCAAGGTTTGTTACCCAGTTACTGGAATCAAATGTATAATGATGTCTGTCCACAACTATAGTATCACACAGAGTTTTGGTGTCCTAATAATCCTCTTTGCTCTGCCTCTTTCTGTCTCCCTTCCCCCAACCCGATAGTCACTGATTTTTTTAACTTTCTCTATCATTTTGCCTTTTCCAGAATATCATACACAGTGCAACCTTTTCAGATTGCATTTTTCACTTAGTAAGAAACATTTAAAGTTCCTTCCTGCTTGACAGCTCGTTTCCTTTTAGAGGTGGGCAACACTCCATTGTATGGATATACCACAGTTTATCCGTCTACTTGCTGAAGGATATCTTGGTTACTTCTGAATTTTAGCAATTAAAAGTAAAGCTACCATAAACATTTATATACAGATTTTTATATGGACATGAGTTTTTAACTCCTTTGGGTAAAATACCAAGTAACATGATTGCAGGGGTGAATAGTAAGACATGTTTAGTTTTTAAGACACTGTCAAACTGTCTTTCAAGATGGCACCACCGTTTTCCATTTCTATGCACTCTAAGTGAGAGTTCCTGTTGCTCTATATCCTTGCCAGCAATTGATGCAGTCAGTGTTTTTGGATTTGGGCTATTCTAATAGGTCTGTAGTGGCATCTCATTGTTGTTTGTGATCTTTTTCTTTTGGTTTATTTTGTTAGCACTCATTGAAAGAAACTCAGTTTCTGGAGCAAATTTTAGACTATTTTGGGGATTGAACTCAGAGAGTACTAAGCTACATCCCCAGCCCTTTTTATTTTATTTTTTTTATTCAGAAATAGGGTCTCACCAAATTTTCCAGGCTGGCCTCAAATTTGTGACCTTCCTGCCTCAGCCTTCTGAATAGATGGGATTATAGGTGTACACACTATGCTTGGCTGTGAAAACATTTTGTATATCCCTAAAATATATATTGAATTTTTCTGGATATTCAAGTTAGTTGTTTTTTACTAAATAAGTAAAAATAGTTCAGTTTTGTTGCTACTTTATTAGCCCTATTTTTTTTTAGTTTCTTTTTTATTAATGTTATATGGTAGTAAATTGCTACCTCCTTGTTTTATTTTTCTTTTGTTATTTACTTTGAGATGATTTAGCAAGATGTTATGTTTGTTTTGAAGCGTGGGGATACTAATATAAACATGAATGATTTTTTCAGGTCCCAAACAAGTTGTCTTTCTGCAGCATGGCTTTTTGGCAGATTCCAGTACCTGGGTCACAAACTTGGACAACAGCAGCCTGGGCTTCATTCTTGCTGATGCTGGTTTTGATGTGTGGATGGGGAACAGCAGGGGAAACACCTGGTCTCGGAAACACAAGACTCTTTCAGTTTCTCAGGACGAATTCTGGGCCTTCAGGTATATTGCAGTTGATTATGACTTGAGTCTTTTTCCTTAGTGGTCTTAAAGCAGCTACATGCAGAGTTCAGCAGGAGGGGCTATTAGGGGGGTAACTGAAATTGCAAGAGACTGATGTTTCTTGAAAGACTTTAAATCTTCCAGGAATTGGAGAACTAGCAATAAGGTAACTTGTAAGTAAATGATTTAATTAGGCTTATATTTGGTTGAGAATTCTTAAGTTATTTTGTCATTCCACATGGTTTTGGACCTGCTGGTGAATATTGTTCCCATAAACTTTGTCTCTTTTTCATAAACAAATGCATACTCCAGATGTTCATTTTTCTTCTTTTCAGAAATTGTCCTCCTTTTCCCTCTTACTTTTGCCTTTACCAATTAATTGTCATATGATTTTGGGCATGTTGCACAATCCCTCCATGTCTGTTTCTTTATTCATAATGGTGGTAATAAACACTTGCCTCATAAAGTCACCAGGGGATTAAGGAGAGGATACTGGGAAAGAATCTCCATGGAGACTGGCACATTGGAAGTGTATAATAACAATGGGATTATCTGTCTCTTGAGGACAAACACATACATGTGCACTCAGACACATACCTGGTGCAAGGCCATATCTTGTTGCCTTGAGTGTCTCCAGGATTGCTTCCTACTTATAATACTAGAGCCTTCCTGAGGACATGACATACAAGCATGAGAATTTTTACCAAAAGGCATGTAGAAGAGTATGTTTATTGTTGCACTATTTGCAGCAGTGAAAGACTGAAAATTACTCACCTGCACATCCTCAGCGGTGAGTAGAACGAATGGACAAGCAAAGTATGGTACATTACGAAGTAGAAGGAGAACAAAGAACTACAGTTCTGTGTGCTAACAAGCTAGGGTTGGAAGAATATAAAATCTATATAATATAGATTTCTATGACTATATAATCCTAGTCATAGAAAAATCGTGCAGTGGGTGAAACAGACTTGTAATGTGAAAAATCAGGGTAATAGTTACCTTTGGAGGCACAGCTGGAGGGTAGTCGAAGGGTGCTCTGTGGTCCTAGTAAGATTCAATTTCCTGAGCTTAGTGCTGGCTTACTCAGCTGTGTTCAGTTTATGATACTCTGCAAACTTCATATTTACTACTTCTGTGGTCTTCTATTTTATATACAGTGTTAACAAAAAGGTTCCTTTTTTTGGATTACAGTTTTGATGAGATGGCAAAATATGACCTACCAGCTTCAGTTAACTTCGTTCTGAATAAAACGGGCCAAAAACAAGTGTATTATGTAGCTCATTCGCAAGGCAGCACAATAGGTATGTATGTAATCAAGGTTGGAAGTTCATATAATGTCTTTGTTACAGTTTACACTTTTTCTTAAAAGCAAAATATAAAGATGAGTTAGTTCATATACAATTGTTTTTGTTTTTAATGCCAAGCAGAAATTATAAATAGGATAAAGAATTTGGTAACAGTCTCTTATGGAAGTTCAGGCTTTAAACTACATAGCTCAATATGGCATATAATTCTCTTAAAACGGAAAGAGTTAATGTGCATCACATCATAGTATTTATTTTTCAAGTTAAGCACTATCAGGGTATGACAGAATAAAAGACAGGAATTTTTCTAAGGGACTTCAAAAATATGCTTAAAGTTGAGTGGAGGCCTGAGATATCGTTCAGTAGCAGAATGCTTCCTTAGAGTGTTTAATTTCCAGCACTGCAAATAACCAAAGTTAATTGGAATTTAACTATGAGGGTAATGGGTTGCACTTAATTCCTAATCAGTTTTTAAAGGCTATATGGATTGTAATTTATGTTGATGATAATATTAATATGTGTTTATTGGAAAGAAAAATAGATAATTTTGCAAAGTTTAAAGAAAATACAAACTGTCCATAATTCTAACAAACAAGTTTCCCTAATAAGGAACTAGAGGGAACCTGTCCTATAATTTGTTGAACTCTCCCTTTTAGTGTTCCCTGTGACTAAAACTTTTGTGTTCATGTCTCCTTAGGTAGTTTCCTAGAAAGAGAAATTATTATGTGAAAAGGTATGCAGTCATGCTTCCCCCTTAGAAAAACAGGCCTGACCAGTCTTCATTTATATGCCATCTTTGACAACTAGTCTACTTGTGTGCTGTGCCTGACTAATTTCTACAGTGACATTCTAGGGCTAGATGGCAAGAAGTGACGGAGAGGGGACTGGAAGATACTTTAAAGCTAAAGTACTCTTTCTGAGTCATGGGTGGTCTAATTGAATGGGACTATAGATTAAGGATAGACCAGGGAGATGGACGTGGTAGGGTGGAGCTGTGGAAATGTAGCCTTCTGCTTCGCATAGTTAAAGGAACAGGTGTCCCCACCTGGAATTTCTTCCTGTGAATACCTAGATTGGAATTTGGAGCAAATACTTAACAAAGAGTTGGTTTGCTAATTTAGTCAATCAGTGTTTGCTCACCCAGAGGTTCAGAGGGTCCCATGTCAAGTGCTCTAACTCTGACGACAGAGTTGCTTACAGGGTCACCAGGCTGCTGCTTGGGGCCTCACAAATGGCCTTCCTTGCTTTTTCTAGGAAGGCCCACAAAATGGGATTTCTGTTTTCCTTTTGTTCCCACAGGTTTTATAGCATTTTCACAGTTTCCTGAACTGGCCAAAAAGATTAAAATGTTTTTTGCCATGGCTCCTGTGGTTTTACTGGATTTCTGTAGAAGCCCTATGGCCAGATTCGGACACTTGCCAGATCATCTCATTGAGGTATGGTAACACCCACCCCTCCAACATTTCCTCTTCGTATATGAAGAACTGGCCATGGGAGCGAGAGTCTGTCCTGGTCCTCCTTTGTGTTCACCATTAGTGGAGCAATGGGCTTTGCTCTCTCCCTTTATTCCTACTTCCCATCCAGGGGAGCTTAGGGAGTGTCTTGGGTATTTTTCTCTCATTGCTGAGGCAAAATACCCAATGCCCAAAATTAAGGAAGAAAAGGTTTCACAGTTTGCAGAGATCAGCTGGCTCTAAAATAGGGTGGCATGGCAGAGGGGCAACAGCTGAAGGTGGCAGAAGACAGCCAAAGCAACAAGAACAAAACTGGGGGGAAAACAAGCCTCTTTCCCTGCCTTATATTGTATGTAGGCTACCCACCCTCAGGTGGGTGTAGCACTCATGCTATCTCCATGTCTTCCTCTTCAACAGACTCAGGATGTTTACAGAATGAGAATCCTGGCCCCTGCTGAGTCACTTAGTTAAATTTTTAAACTTCTCAAGTTGACACAAAATGAACATTGTAGAAGGGTAAGGGCATGTCCTCCACACCCTAGGCTGTAGAACTGCTGAGTTACTTAGCTTCTAGATTTCTCAAGCTGACACAATGTATCAGCCACTATAGAGAAATAAGTCATTAACTGTACACTACAGCTTTGTATACTCCTGGTTAATGTGTATTATTACAGTTCTCTACCTGCCACACAAAGAAAGCACCAAGTTTTTAAGGAAATAATTTAAACATTCATGCATTTATTCTGTTTTCCAAAAGAGGAACCTGTGGGTTGCCGTAGGCAAGATGTAAGGGGCAAGAAATGTGCCTTTCCCACATGCCTATCTCCAGCCACATCCCTAAAAATACTGTTTCATTATATTTTATCATGTGACTCCTAAACACAAGACAATGACTCCCTCGGCCTCAGTCCTAAGACTGTGTAACCCTAAACTCTGTTCAAGGGAGAAACAGCTCTCATAAGGAATTATATGGCCAGCTGGTCCATGCGTTCCATGAATTTTATTCATGCATTTTATGTTTAATGTATTGTATGTTTGCATGAGTGCACATACACACACACACGAGTCCTGTACAGAAATTATCATGTGCCATATAATGACATTTCTTTCAATGAGACCTCATGTTTGATGGTGGTCCCATAAGGTGTAATGGAGCTAAAAAATTCCTGTCACCTAGTGATGTCATAGCTAACGCATTGCTTGTGAGCTTGTGGTAATGTTGTTGTAGACAACCATGTGCTGCCAGTTACATACAACTGTAGACTTATAGTACATGTAGTACATAATACTTGATAGTGATATCATCTTTTTATCATTATTTTAGAGTATATTTCTCATATAAAAAGGTTTACTGTACAGCAATATATCCTGCTGTTGGTAGCTACATCCATTCACTTATGTTCACTGTCTCTTAATGGCATCAAGGGCCCAGGTCATGTGATTAACCTGTTTGTGGTAGTGTACTCTGTGGTATTTATGATATAGAACTGTACTTAAAGCCAGGTATAACACAGCCCAGTGACGATTTAAAAGACGTGCACAGGAAATATGGATGATATTCTGATGTCAAAACCTGACACTAACATAAGATGGGATTTACTGCACCAGTGACCATGCGGATAAGATGTAGCCACTCTGACCAAATGTTTTTAATGCTTTGGGTAATAGGATCATTGATTTTCACTGTAAACAGTCAGAAATTAAAATAGAGTACTATGCCTTCCACTTATACTTTCCTCAGAGTTAAGCACAGTGTACAATTTGGGGTTTTTCTCTGTAAACCCTATGTGTAAATTTATGCACATAGAGCTATACCAAGAAAACTGTTTTGTTTTAATGTGAATGGTATCCAACCATATAGATTACTATACAGATTGGATGTTTCACTCTTGGAAACCTATCATATTAATTCATTTTTTAAAATTTTGTCTCTTAAGTTTTGGATTATAAGGAACTCCTGCTTATTTAGTCAGATTTCTTTGGTGGACATTCAGATTGTTTGCTAATTGGCTATTGGTGCATCTTCATGTCCTTCTAGGGGCATATCTATGGTGTCTTTGGGGAAGTAGAATTTCTGTGTCATAGAAATGTATGTTTTTCATTTATTTAATCCTTGGAGATGGTAGTGTAGTAGCTTTATAGAAATACAAACACTTGTCCCGCTTCTCCAATAAAAAAAAAAACAGTTAAAGAAAAAAAAACAGGCCGTGGGCTGGACTTGGCCAATATAGAATTAGGTGTGTGCACACTCAGCATACTTTGCAGGTCAACCACAGCCTCACCTGTTTCTTAGAGGTCATGAATGATCCGTTGGAAGCAGATAAAAGCTGTCTGGGGATGCCCCTGGGATAACTGATCAAAGCCCTTTCCCTTTATAAAAGTCAATTTTAAATTTACTTAATTTTCTGCCTTTATGTTTTCATTTTAAGAATTTAAATACATACCTGTAATGCATCTGATTTTACCTAGTAAACTTATGCGTCAGTGTCCTTCTTTGAGTGTTTGCTGGTTGACTCTGCCCGTGAGTGCCCAGCGAGGATGCGGCTGTGTGTGCGCTTCTGAGGTGGGTCATGGGGCTGATACACCAGACAGCTGAGATATTATCGGGTTTCTTTGATTTTTTAGGACTTACTTGGACACCAAGCTTTTTTGCCCCAGAATAAGATTTTGAAGTGGCTAAGTACCCATGTTTGTACCCATGTCATTATGAAGGAGCTTTGTGCAAATGTCTTCTTTCTTCTCTGTGGATTTAATGAGAGGAACTTAAATGCGGTATGTATATTGACAGTAAGAGTTGATTCAAACTTCCAGTGACTTCGGCTGTGAATTTGCTTGTTTGTGTCAGGTGCTATGGGAGATGCAAATCAGCTCATCAAAACTCTAGAGGGTCTTTCACATAAGATATACAAGAATCAGCTTTAGCAGATGCCTGAAGTACCATCTGCTGCTGTCCTGGTGGGCTTTTGTCAGGGTCCTACGTAAAACATGTATGGAGACTACTGAACAAGATTTCTGTCACAATTTAAGTCATAATATTTATGTATTTATTCTAGTGGTTTGTTTCTTTAAAAATTCTGTATGTTTAAATTTGAAGTGGTTATTTATATACACACATGTATGTATGGCGAACATGCACATATGTGTATTTTTTTTTTTTTTTTTTGGTACTGGGAATCGAACTCAGGACCTTGTGCTTGCCAGGCAGGTGCTTATGCCGCTGAGCTATATCCCTGACCCTTATTTACATTTTTTAATAAAAAACAAATCATTGGCCAACAATATACTGGTGCTTCTAGCTTTGTCATTTGTATTGTTGCATTTTGAAAATAGCTTTTAAAATTCTGGAGTAACGGTCCTACTGAATTTTTAAAATAATATTAATTTTTTTCTGATGATCAAAGCAAGATATGATGGTTATTTTAAACTTAAAAATTCAGGAAAACATGAAAAATAAAGTGAAAATGACCTGTAACCTTAATCTGTGGAACCCCATACTTAGCTTACTTTTGCATTTCCTTCATAGATGCTCTGTATGTTCATGATTTAATAGGACATCTTTGTAGTCAAAGATTTTTTTTAACCCGATCCCATGTATTTGAGATTATGGATCTGTAATTTTTAATGTTTTTAAAGACAAAATGTACTATTTATTATGAATACCACCTTAGTAATATTTTCATCCTTTAATCTAATATATTTATTCTACAGTCTAGAGTGGATGTGTATGTAGCACACTGTCCTGCCGGATCTTCTGTGCAGAATGTTTTACACTGGGGTCAGGTAGGTGTTCCAGGATTGCATTTGGGTTCGGGTGAAATCAGAGATGGAAAAATCTGTTGTATTCCTTGAAACACCTCTTTGTAAACCTTTCCCAACAGAAAAACAGTCTGCTTGCCAATCTGATCTGTTTTCCCTCCCCAAGGTCCTTGTCCTTGTCCTTGAACTGCTTTTGCTGTCCTCAGTGGGCACCCTGGACTGTGCCTGGGTTCACCAAGTGCTACTGAACTTGATTTTCTTCTTTTAGTACCTGTCCTATTCCCTCTCCTTCCCTCTCCTTTTCTTTATTTGTGATTCAAGCTTATATTTTCTTCATTTCCTTTTTCTTCCCTCTCCTCCCTCCATCTGTTTTTCATGGAAGTAATGCAGAAATAAAACAAATTGTTACTAACAGTTGCTGGAGCAAAAAAAAAAAAAAAAAAAAAAAAGAACAGGTTTGGACGTAGAATCTGCTACTGGCGCACTGCAAACCAGAACTAAGCCAGCCGTGGACATGAAGGGGAGTCACAACTTCTAAAACAGAGTTTTGATTACTTTATTACATAAGTAAATATATGTTTGTTCTAGAACATTTAAAATTTACATATAGACCAAAAGAGAAATGAAAATAAAATTTCTGTATATAAGTCTACACAAAGATGAAAAAAATGTACATTTAGAGATAAAAAGTGTTTGCACATCCTGCTTTGAACCCCTTACTGCATGTCTTGCCAAAGAGAAGCAGTTTACAGCTAGAGAAAGTAGATGTAGAAATAGATTAAATTTCTCCTATTTACTGTTTATAATCTGCTTCTGTGACTGCCAGGGACGTCTTCCACCCTGGGACATATTTTTGACAATTTTTTTCTAGCTAATTTTCTCTAAATATGAAATAATTTACTATGTGGCTACAAGCAAAGATGCTACCAGTATCTTATCGGTTTCCAAGCTTCTGGGGCAGTTTATGGGAGTCACTGCTTACATCAGAATCACTGAATTGCTTTTAAAATTATACTTCTTAGTAAGATATTATATGAAAACAGTAATACATTTGTAGAACTGACTAAAGTACATGGATAGTAAAAGGAGTAGGTTTATGAGCCTGAATACAATACATGCTTTTAAAAACAAAGACCCCTGTGTCCAATCCCTGGAGATTCTAATTCATTTAGAGGAGGGAACTTGACTTTTTAATTTTAATAGCTTTATTGAGATGCAGTTGACATATTGTTTTCAATAACATAATTAAATATATTTTGATCCAGGGAAGTGCCTGCTAAGCCATCACCTAAATTGAGATAGTGAGCGTACCCATCCACCCCGACAGTTCTCTCATTCTGCTTCCTCTGCAGTTCTAGGGATTGGACACAGGGCCTCTGCACTGAGCACTGAGCTACAGCCCCAGCCCTTTGCATTTTTTAAATTTTGAGACAGATGTTGCTAAAGTGCCCACACTGAGCTCACCTTGGGGTCCTCCTGCTGAGCGTCCCAGAGTTCTGGGACTATAGGCCTCCGTCACCATGCCCAGCTCATTCCTGCCCGTTTCTGACTGCCCCTTCTCTCCTCTCCCCAGTGATCTGCTTTCTGTCAGTATAGATGAGCTTGTATTTTCTAGAGTTTGTCCCACTACAGCCATACAGTTTATACTTGATTTTATGTGGCTTCTTCACCCAGCATGCTTATTTGGAGATTTAGCCATGTATATATAGCGGCAGGTCAGTCCTGTTTATTCTTAGGGGACTGTACTTTTAAAAACTCTGCCTAGCAGAATTTTCTTCCTAACCAAATTTGGGAGTGACACATCTGGAAAATCCCTGATGCTTTCATCTCCTTCCTCAGTGTCCCCTGGAGCACTGTCTATAGGAGAATAGCACCAATCTCTTACCAGCATGAACCCCCTGACGCTCCTCTGTAAGGAGCCAAGACCTGACTGGAGGCTCTTAGCTTTGACAAAAGGACCAGTAGGGTGAATGTTGAATGGCTGAGTGTTAAATGCTGCAGTTTGCTCCAGTTTAGAAGAGGGCCCATGGAGTGTAAGTCCCTCGTGACATGCTAGCAGCACACCCTGACCACTTAAGCAAGGCCCCAGACCTTCACCTGCCGTTCTCCTCAGTCCGATTTCAGTTTATGATCAATCACTTGTTTTCTTCATGTACTATGACAATGAAATTCCCATACATTTTTGAGAATGTGTACCTGCCTGCCCAGTGGCAATGTCTCTAAAAGGCCCACTTCCTGTCATGTTAAGAGTGAGAGTGCTCCTAGAGGTGCAGAGAGAATGAGTAAGTTGGGCTGAAGGCAGATGCTGAAGTAACCTGTGAGCTTAGTGACCACCCACTGCGCACATATGATATGCCGCATGCCTCAGCCAAGTGCAAGTGGCTGCCAGAGCTGCTTCAGAGCCTGGGGAATGTGGAAAGTGGGGCTGTCTGCAGACCAGTCTGTCATCCCTCACAGAACGGTATTGCTTCCCCGTCTGTGTCTCAGGCCTCCCTGGCACTGGATTTGTGGGAAAGTGGCTTCTGCTCTCGTTCCAGCCCTTTCTTCAGGCAGTGAAGGCTGAAGGCCAGTGTCAAAGCCTTCAGGCAGAGGTCCAGAGCACTTATCTCTGGGTCTGTTGCAACCTTGTGGCTTTGGGTCAGCTACAATGGAATGTGCCTCGTGACCTTTCCAAAGCCCCATTCACTGCAGAAGGCAGCTTTGTCCTGTGCCCTTCTGCCACCCCTTTGTCAGTACAGGAGCTGCCTTGTGCCGCCATTCCATGGTGTGCTGGCTGTGATCCTCCCTGCTCCGGGCTGGGGAACAGAGATCTCCATTCTGACGGTGGAGCCCTGAGGGTGTGCGAGCCCGGCACCGCGGGCTGGAGGCCACAGGTGTGGAGTTTGAAGGTTCCTCTGGTAACTTCGGAGGTGTCCTTTAAGGCTACTTTATTGACAATACATTCGGAAGTTGACTTTTCATTTAAATAGTTCGCATTCACTTATTAACTTCTCAAACCTACTTCATTCCGAGGCTTTTTAAGTGAGTTTACAAATCTTCCTTTTTTTATAAGCTAGAAGAATTTCAGAGATCCCTCAAGCTAAAGCTTATTATTTTCTGACCTTTGTGGTAGCCTTGCCAAGTGCCCAGGCACTTGCTTGTATTGGCAGAAGGCCAGTCCTAGCACGTCTTTGCAGTGTTAGTCACAATTGCTTAGGGTACTAATAAAAATGCATATTCTTAGGCTTATCCAAGTCTTGTTGGGAATCTCACGGAATGTGTTCCTGGAATCTACATTTTAGTTAGTAACTTAGATCAATCTGTTGCCCTTCATTATTTTGAAACTTACTGCATTTGTTGAAAAACAATATCCATAATGTATAGTTGATTGGCTTTTTAAAATGCTGTAAAATAATTCAGTCTAATTTTTATTATATGTGTCATATGTTTTTTGACATTTGAGAATATCTTCACCACAAAGCAATAATCAGTATTAGTAATTTGGTATGATCTCACTTTCTGATATTATTTCCATTTCAACAGTAGGATCGTACTAAAAGTGGGATCAGTCTTTTAAAGTAACTTTCACTTATTTAAATAGTGTTGCATTTGTTAGATACAGACTAAGTTGCTGTTTCAGAAACCCTGAAGTATATCCACTAAATAAAGTTTCTGCCTCTGAGGTTAGTGCAGAGATTAGCAGCCGGAGCTGGTGGTAGAGGGATGAGTGTTACCATGCCTCAGGCTCTGAGCTCGTGGGGTGCTGTCCCTTCTGCCTAGCTGAAACTGGCTCACTTGCTTGTCTATCCCAGCCCACGGGGAGGTGAGAGAGAGGAAGTCTAGTGGCTTTGCCTGAGGAAGAGCTGGGACATGCGCCTGAGGAGCCCAGCCCTGATGCGTACAGGGAGATGAGGATAGTTTCTACCTTGGCAGCTTTGAGCAGGCTTTAGGGATTCCATTACTGAAGGACAAAGGCAAGAGTGGGCACTAGGGACAGTTAGTTTCTGCCGTAATAAAAGAAAATATGCTTTTATAGGTCAGTAAATACATTTTTAATATATTGGTAATGAAAAACAGTTTTCTGCCATATAAGTTTTATTTCTTTCTGTTTTTTGCATAGTAGTTTTATTGCAGTAGTCAACCGTTCTGGGACAGATATTCTTGTGTGATATATCTATCCTCTAATCAAGAAGATTATTTTCTTAAAATGATGTATGTACTCCATAAAAGTAGATTTAGTGGTGAGAGGGTAAGCATATCTTCAAGATTTCAGGTACATATAATACTTTAGAAAAGTTTGACCTGCTTGCATTTTTATAAGCATTAGAGACCTAAAAATAATTTTTAAAATATCACTTTAAAGCTGTCTATTTTCATACTATAAGCATTTCTTCCTGATCTTTGTCTACCAAGGATTATCACAGAAATACAAACAAACATAGTACATATTTAATTTTATGACTTTTTCCTCTTAGTATTATTTATAGGAATGATTTGTGAACAGGTGTTTGTTTATATTTTATAATTATGAGAGTACCATACTGTTTTTGTATATCGGTGGAGTATACATCTATTATTGGACTTTAACCTTTCTAATAATCTCCACACTGCCTTCCTTTGGAAATACCCTTTCAAGTGATGCCCTTGAAGTCCTAAGTGACTGACCCCAAAGGTCAAGTTCAGTGTGAGCTGTAGGCTAGTTTCCACTCTCTGTTCTATAGTCACTCCTGATGCTTTAGATAAATGCTGAAAGGCATATGAGAGAAAGTGGCAAACTGCCATCTATGTGCCGTCGCAGAGCAACTTACATTTGTGAATTTTCACAGACAATTAGAAAAAAAAGCAAATGCACTCATAGGTCTTTTGTTAGATATACCAAGTGTATTTAGTTTGTCATTTGCAAGGGCAAATCATGTGCTAAGCATTTTTCCTGTAGCAATCCCCTTTAGCATCCAGTCCCACACAGCCTTTTATTACATCAAACAGAATTTTATATAATTGTTAAGAACTGAAACTTCACATCTGAGTCCTCCCACCTCGCACAC